ACAGTGATACATTCCTGTAATCATGCACTAGTGGGGCAGAGATAGGAAGATCCCTTGAGCATGTTGGACAACCAGTCTAGCCAATCAGTGAGCTGCATGTTCAGTGAGAGGCCCTGTCTCAAAAAAATAAACTAGATGATTGAGGAAGGCACCCAGCATCTACCTCTGCCTCCACATGCATGTACACACACACACGCACACACACACACACACACACACACACACACACACATATGAACAGGTACTACACAAACATACACACACAAAAAGAAAGCAAAGCCAAAAATGAAACCAAACAAAAACAGAGGATGAAAGAATGAGGTCATGTTTTAGAGAGTTGTCAGGGAAGGATTCCCTGGTAACACATTTCTTGATAACACATTATCTGGAAGTTGTAAGGAATGATTGGATTCTAATAACTTAAAGGTGGACCAGTAAGTTTTACAAAAAGAATAGTAACATATAGAGTCAAGATTCTACCTTGTCACTTGGGTGGGACAAGTAAGGCACGGGCCTGGGACAGCCTTCCTATGGGCTGTCTTTAAGGATTTCCCAAAGGGCCTATGAATACCAACAATAAACTCTTTTTGATTATCTTTGGCAAGTCAGGTTAAATTGTTCTTGGCTCTACGTCGTCTTAGAGTCTTCCCTGCTAATGAGTCTAGGGTTTAGGACCTGAACAATAACAATGAGGTAGAGAATACTGTGAAGGAGCAGGTTTAGTGGTGATGATGGAGGGGACATAGGGACAAGAGTTTAGCTTGGAAGTTCAAATGCCTTTTAGAAATCCAAGTGTGGATAGGCATAGGACATAGAAAATCTGGTCTGAGTCTGTAGCTCAAGAAGGATGTTCAGGCTGGAGATGTAAATTTAGGAATGCTCAGCCTCTAATAGATCTTAAAACATGGAACTGGATGGCATACCTGTGTAATGAGTAACACAGAGCAGGAAGGTGAAGACTGAACACTAGGTCTGTCTAGTACCAGTGAGAAAGATGAAAAGGAACAAGCAAAAGAAATGAAGTATGGTGTTTCAGAGAAGACAGTCATGTGTCAAATATGATTGAATTTTCCTTTGAATGTGGAAACAGAGGTCAGAGATTCCATGCACAAGTGTTTTAAAGGGTGGGAGCTTGACTTCAGTGGGCTCAAGAAGAACAAAGGAAGGAAAGAGGTTAGCAAGTATCTTGGCTATAAAGAGGATCAAAGAAAGGAGTCAATAGCTGAAGGGGATTATAGGCTGATAGTGTGATGATTGGTATTCCTCTTGGTTAGATTCT